TGCCGCCGGCGGCGGAGGGTGACGGTGGCGGAGACTCATAGCATCGGAATCGAAAACCCTAGAAGAAAGTTGAAACCGTAGTTGTGCTACACAGTAACGGTTGTTGAAGTTGAAGAAGGTGCTAAAAGCGTGAGTGAGTTAGTTACAGAGAGAGAAAGAGACGATAGTGAGAGAAAGAGAGAGAAGGTGGTGAATGGTAATGGTGGCTAACGTGCGCACTAGTGAAAAACGGAGAAGGGGAAGAAGAAAGGGCGCGTTAGGAGCGTGTTAGCGCGTTTAGATATTTGTTTTCGTTTTGCTTATGATCAAAAAAATATATTTTGTTTGTTTTTATTTTAATTAATTACTTATTACTTAATTAATTAAACCAATGAGTCATTTTGGTAACCTCCTTTGACTTCTTCTGCTTCTGGCTTTCACCTTTCTTTTTCGATTTTCATTGTCGTAGTCAATTCTTGGATCGTGATTCGTGAGTTTGAAAAGAAGAAAAAAATCTATTGGAAAAAGAATATATGGAAAATTCAGTATTGAATTAAATTATATATGGAAAAATAAAATAAGTAAAATTTTACGTTGTCGCGAATTCGTGATCGTGTTTTTTTCTCATAGAAATTCGTGATCGTGTTAGAATATCCTTAACTGGTATATGTAAGAATTAGTGTCATAGAGGGAAAAGTAGATAAGATAATTTCGACCGTATCAAACATTTATGGTTAAAAACAATAGTACATGTTTATATTTCATGATCCTACGTTAAGGTAAATGTTAAGTTACGTTTTAAAAATTATTCTTAGATGTTACAAGATCAATTTGTTACGGTTCAATCAGTTTAGCGGGTTAAATATAATAAATAAATAATTATAAAAGTAAATTTGTGACACGAATAAATTTAATTTGTCTAATTCAGCTTTCTTAGAGGTAGTATTTGTCTAGATATAATGTTATAATATAAAAAAATGATTGAAATATTTGTTTAACTAATTTGAGTCACACTTTATATTAAAACTCATATATGGTGAGAGAAATTGATTTTATAAACAAAATAAACATCCTTGACTTTACCATTCAAATACATGTGGACGGAAGTTGAGAAATTCTAAATATTTTTAAGACTTAAATATGTATTTAATTTTTTAAATTTAAAGTAGAATTATTTTTACCTCTCAATTTTTTTTTTATTTTTATAATTTTTTTAAAAATATTTTAATTTCTATATTCAAATTTTACTAGAAAATTTGTTAATACTATTATATAAAATTTATTTATTAATAAAAATATTCTGTTAAATTTAATTAATATTATATAATTTGTCTTGATCTATTACTTGCAAATATTATTAATAATATTAATCTAAAAAATTTAAAAATTATTAAGATTAAAAATAATAATTTTAAATTTTAAGAGATTAAAAATATATTTATGTGTATTCTTAAAATGTATTAAAAACATTACTTTATGAAGGGAATCCACAACACGTTGATTAATATCATAGAGTAATTTCCTTTTTCGGTAATAATGTGATTCAATTATTTTAGCTGTGATTAACACAGTAAGTTTTTATATGCATTAAAGTTAAGTGCCCTGAAGCTGATCAAGATTCAAGATGAATTGTGATGTAAGCTTCATTGGTCCATATGTAATAATAACATGATACGATATCAGAGATTATAATATAAAGAAATATCTTGAATAACTTTAACAGTAATTTTCATAAAAATTAATAATCTTATCGCATGTAATAATTTACAATTTAATTGTGACATAAAAAATATTTATAATGTAAATACATTTTATTGAAATCAAGGATACATTATATATTTTAGAAAGGGAAACGAATTGTGTGAGATCTTTCTGGGTATGGTGTATCCGAATCAGAAAAGGGGGAAAAAAAGGTAAGATTCTAAATCAATGGTCAACAAAAATGAAAGTTACTTTCCTTTCTCTAATTTCAAGGATTCTCCACTCTTTTGATGCACTTTTTCTTTTAATAAACATACTAATACTAATATTCTTATTACTTAGGACGAATTTATTTTAAAATTAAAGAATTGATAAAGATAATTGAGAGAAGTATTTAATTTAATTTCAATTATTAAATTATATTAAAATAATTATTTCAATTAAAGATTGTAAAAATTATTTTTTGCATGTTAAAATAAAGAGCAACAAAGTAATTCCAAACAGTGTGTATTATAGGTAATTAAATTTTTGAATGATGATAAAATGGACAAATTGGAACGCAACGACAGATTCAAAGAATTTTGACTTTCGAGTAGCGGCAATAGAAAAAAAAAAAAAAAAAAAAAAAAAAAAAAAAAAAAGGTAACGTAACGTGCAATTTGAATGGAGCAAATGTGATGGCACGCTACGCGCTTGTATGTTTGAAAATACAAGCACTCAAATAAAAGAAAGTTTAACACAAGCCATAACAATATGTATTACCTTTTATTCTTATTAATGCATTTATTATTACTAAAGTTTGTTAAAAAATTATCAACAACATCCATTTCATTAGACTAGATGATAAATAATTAGTTCTTTAAATATATTAATTGTGTGTATAAAGAAGTCTTTATATCGTGAGAGGCAATAATTATCTTGATAACTTTTATGTCTTAAAAGATATTAATTTTTTAACTATTAGTAATGTTATATATTTCAAAGAAGAAAAAAAAGTCGAATCATCCTTCAAATTAAAAATGAAATCACATCTATCAAAAAAAATATATTAAAATATGCATAGAAAATTAGCCGCTTAATATTAAAAAAAAAGGGTTAATCCTCTAAATCCAGTAAATAATTTTTCACACTAATAAAATATATTTTAAAAATCTCATAATTTTATTATTTTTGATAAATTTGAATGAATAAAAATATATTAAAACAAAGAATATATTTTATCACTACACACTGCTCCATCGAAATTTGAAAACAGAAGACGGCGGGTATATGCGACAGCGTCGTTTTGTGGCAGATGAAGTTGTCCAACCCCAGCGGAGGGGTGGGACCCACCAGAATTGGACCACGACGACAGTGTGTGAACCAGATCCAGCCTTCCTAAAGTCTTAATGGTTAAGAAAATTAATTAATGCTTAAGAAATACAGTATAATTAAAAGAAAAGAAAAATACCAAGGATAAAACTCCTTCCTACACATTTCATCTCTCATAATAATTAATTATATTTTTTTATAAAATTATTTTGTTCGAATAAAATATCTTTATTTCCTAAGTAATAAACTGCACAATATAGTTATGTAAATAATAACAAATTTAAAGTTGAAATATTAATAAATAAGAATTGAAGGAAATATTGTCAATGCATGATTCGTCGTGATCGCACTATATACGCAAAAGGGTCGCAAAAATCAAAATGGCAGGGACTTTACTTTTCTATTGGGTGTGCACATGCACCTTTTGTTGGAACTGTTGCTTTCGGCCCAACTAGGTTAGGTTAAGTTCTTAGAAATTATCAACCTTGGGGTACATAACAAGAAAGCTTCTAATAAATTGTTTTCACTCGTTTTGTCAAAGCAAACAGTCCTTTGCTTCACCCATTATTTTTATTGAAAAAATAGAGCTAAAGAAAATTAGGAAATTTTCAAAAGGAAAAAAGTAAAATGATTGTAATAGAATACTGAAAATATTTTTTTATAGATTTTAAAAAAAATTAGAAGGAAAAGTATTTCGTTTTCATCCGTTGTATTGAAGCTTCCAACGATGGCATTGGAGACATCCCCCAACATTTCGTCTTTCTCACTTTTGACTATTTCGTGTTTCTATTGAAATTTAAATTAAATTAACTTACTAGTATAAGTTTTAGCGAAATATGTCGTGAACTTATGATTTACTATGAACCTATAAAATTTTATGTGTGGAATAACTAAATAAAGTGTAATTTTTATATGATTCACGAGTGGAAAAATAAAAAATATCATTAAATATATGAAATGTTAAATTGAACAAATTTAAGTTTAGTAGGATCTCATAAATCTATTTTGATAGTGAGAGCTAGTGTAAAAGATTTATCTCTTTTTTCATTTTTTCTCCTTGGTTGAGACCTCCTTCCCTTTGTTTTATGTTTAGTCGTCTAGTGATAAAAGTAGGTCTTCGTGTTAGTGAAGTTCATAGGACTCAAGCGGAGTAGGCTTGGAGTCGTGCGGGGCTTCTTCCTTCCCTTTTTCTCTTTAGCAAATTTTGGTTCTCCAAGGTGACAAAGGAAACTTGCATTGGTTATGTGTGTAAACAAGTTCTGTGCCTAAGAATTTATAGTTTTGTGACGTGTTGATGAAATTTAAATCGTTGGTTGCGGAAGTAGTGGGTTGGAGTTTTATTCTTGAAGCTACTCATGAGGGGATTATGAGGAAATGTTGGATCTTGGTTGATCATGGTTGCATGTTGTAAATGAGGTGGTTTCCAAACTATTTATGATGCTCACATGTTGTTTTACGCATTATATGTTGGAAATTGGTTGAATTTAAGGTAGATTGGATGATTATTGTTTTGCATAAGTGCAAACCCGATATTACATTAAACATGCCTTTAGAATATTAGGCATGAGTTTAAAGAGAAATATTTGCCTCAATCGTGTTGGGTGCAAAATCAGTGACATCAAGAGTGAGGAGTGATACTCACCTCGAGTTGGAATCACGTCAGATGTGAGTTGAATGCATCGGGCGTGATTTAAGCAAAGGCTTTCTTCTTAATTAGGGTTGGGCATGGGTTTTGCCATGCCAAATGCGAAAGAATGGAGCTTACTCTATCTCAATCATGTTGGGCACAAGTGGTGCAATGTTAGGTGTGGATGAGACAAGGAACTCTTTGTTTCAATAGCGTTAAAAACCATTTAAATAGTGTTGGACGTGATCTACATGTTATATGTTGTCTGCTTTATGATGAATTATAGTTGAATATTGATGATAAAGTAATATTGATGATAAAGTAGTTGGTATGTTGATATATACCTACATTTAAGTGGTTAAATGAATTGTTGATGTTAAATTGTAAGTTGTATGATGTATAGTTGCTAAGTTGTAAAGTTCTGGACACGTGATTGAGATACATGTCTTAATTAAGAAACATAAATGCTAGAAGTGAACTATGTTGTTTAAAGTTGATCATCCTTCTAGGGTCTATGTGGTTTGATATGGAGGTTGTCAAACCATATCATGGTTGAGTGACTAACCGAAAAAGGTATGAAGTCAAGGACTTGATCTCTAACTTAGTACTAGAGGGTTGTGGTATTTGGAGGGTAGTTGATGGGCTAATCCCATATGTGTCTTAGTATTGCAAGCTAATGTCATGGTAGGTCATACCCAAACTATTCTACCTTGACATAGTACCATATTTCATAGTTTAAATGTTAAAACCTAAGAAATCAAACTAATTTGTCTATACCTAGCTCTCTTTGAGGCCTAACGTTGTCATATATCTAACTTAGTTGAGATCGATCTAACATTGTGGTTCGATAGAGTCAAGTCACTTAAACTATTCACCTCAATTGTAGAAGATTTCTTCAGTTGACATACGTGACAATGCATTAGTTGTTGATATTGTGTGTAGAGATGTTATTATAATAAAGTTGATAAATGTTGAGTTAAGTTGTTAAGTTGGGAGTGGTGCTATTGTTAATAGATGCTTTTGTTACCTTTGTTGTAATTGTTGTACATTATTGCTTTCGTAAGTTTACCCAACTTTTCCTTGTGGTTGGGATTGTGATGACCATATTTGGCATGCGAGCAAGACAGGATTAGGTGGTTAGCTACACGGGTGATGGCGAGTCACATTGGAGGTGACTTGTTTTGTATGACTTTCTGGTGGAGACATATTTTGGAGTCATTGACCAACTATCTAGAGGACATTTTATAGTAGTTTAGACATTATAAGTATTGGATATTTTTATGTCGTGTATACTCCATACGTTTTACTATATGCATGTTTTAGCTTCAACTTAATGCTGATTTTTTTGTAGTAAGTATGGTGACCTGTTGGGTTGTTACATTTTTTGGTATCAGAGTCGATCGAGTTTTTTTAGGGACACTGTGTGAAGGTGAAATTGTTATGCTTCTATTGCATAGATGTTAAGTTGTATTACAAGAGTTGTCAAGTTTTTTAATGTTTTAAAGTTGTTGATGTTGTTGATTAATGAGCATTGCTTAATGGGTTTATTGATCTCTATAGAAGATGGTTAGGCCTTAGTATGACCAGACCACCTGTGCCATAGAGATGATGGCACATAGGATGCAACAACAGACCACTCACTTGGCTAGAGTGGAGGTAGAGAGAGTTGTAGCTGAGGCAATAACATCGATGGGTTCATAGGAGAGCTAAGACCTGGTTGAGTTTGGGAAGTGTCATCATCCTCAATTTAGGGGTGACGTGGATCTAAAGGTGGCTGACCACTTGGATTTGTGAGATGGAGAAAATTTTCATGGTTTTAGGATGTATAGTTGAGAGGAAACTTGCCTATGTTGTGTACATGTTGGTTGGGGAGGCAGAATATTGATAAAGAGGTACCTATAGATGCTTGTGGCCAAGGGTATGGAGTGGACTAGGAATGCTTCAAAGGGACTTTTCTTGCGAAGTACTTTCTAGAGAGTGTGAGGCATGCAAAGAAGGATAAGTTTTTGAGTTTGCAGCAATGAGGGATGTTTGTGTAAGACTATGCCATGCAGTGCAAGTACTTGTCACACTTCTTCACCAAGCTATCTCTAAGGCTTTAAAGGGTAGGAAGTTTGCTCTTGAAATATAAGTTGAGAAGAGTAGTGGTGTCTATGGCCATCAAAGAGTTTTTGGCCTTGTTGGAAAATGCAAAGGTTGTGGAGAGGCTCAAAGGAAGTGGTCGAGTGGTGAAAGTAATGGATGGGCCACAAAGGTGGTGTTGAAAGGAAACCTTATGATAGGCCCCAACAATAAAAGGGTTCTATCACAAGGAAGCCCGTTAAGGCACCGGGAGTAAGAGCACAGAGCTTGAGATGTTACCAGTGTGAGGGACCACACATGGTGTAGGACTGTACTACTACCTCTTCTAGATGTTTCCAATCTAGTAAGCTTGGACATGTTGTGAAGGATTGGCCAAAGAAGGCAAATCAGACCAGAAGTGCATCGAGGGTGAAGCAATCGACGACAATAGGTCGTGTGTTCTCTTTGACGGGTTCAGAGGCTTCCACTTCATCAGACTTAGTGAAGGAGAAAGGTAGAGAGAAGTTTCTATTTTGTTCGACTCGGGCGTTACACACTCCTTTATTTTTTTTAGATTGTGTAGGCAAGTCAAAATTAGTTGTAAACTCTTTGAATATTTGCTTGGTTGTGTCTATTCTGACATTGATTTTCGTGATAACTTCTAAGTGTTGTTTGGTATCCTACAATATATTACTTTTAGTTCTAATTATAACCAACATAAAACAAATTGTCAAAACTATAAAAAATAATTAATATTATTACTTTTAATTAATTCTATCATAAAATTTTGTTTTAATTCAAATATATCTTATATTTTAAGTAATTCTTTTATTTAATATTAATTATAAATAAATACATAAGAAATAAAGTTAATAATAAATTAAGAATATAATAAAAATTTAACCTTGAATAATTTTAAAAATTAATAATTATTATTTATAATTAAGACTGGAAAGAAAAACTTAATTTATTGCTTATAATAACAAAGGTTGTATATGATAATTTTTTTTAAAAAAAAGTTTTAAGATATAACTATATAAAACATGATTACATTACAAATCACTGGTATTTTATAATTTAACTTTATTTTTTCTTAATATATTCAATATTTAATATTTATATTAATTTATCATCATTATTATATTATGATTAGGCAACTAATAGATAATCTTATAGTTAAGTTAAAGATGAGATTAAAAATTGAATATCTAATTAATATATATAAAAAAAAATGTTTGTTAAAAAAAAAGCTATCACTTAAAAGAATCCCAATACCTCAAAGAAATGTTTTAAGCTTTAGCTTTCAATATATAAAACTCATTTCGATGTGAAAGATTTATTTTTTTTACAAAATGAATAGTGGATAGTAATAAAGAAGATATATTTTTTGGTACACTTTTTGCCTTGTTTAATCGTCAACTATTTCTGAAAATAATTTTTAAAGCTACGAAAAAAATCCCCAAACAGTATAATAGATTTCACACACAATTTCTTAAAATATCTTTCAAGAGAATCTTATTTAAGGAAATTGGATAATTGTCCCTTAACAATGGCTAACTCTCGAAACCTGTCCTATAATTACTTCCACTTCATCCAACAGGGGAATACCTTAAAAAAAAACATGTATATTGAACACATAAAGTAAATATTATCTTTATTAGTGAACCTATAATCTCTCTTTCTTAAAGTAAAAGTTGTATAGAGATAACAAACGAGTAGATTATCAATAATCTAAAGTTTCATATACTTTAAAATATAAATTTTTAAAAAATAGAAAAGAGCAAGTGAGGGATTTTCTGCATAAATACTAGATAATCCTCACCGAGACATTTTTACACAAGATCATAAACCGTACACACTAAATAAAACTTTTATTCCATGCATAATAAAACACGCAATGATTTGAGGGTTTGAACAGAGTATTCAGTTTGGTAGACATAGTAACTGTTCAGAAAAGTTGTTCATCACCCAGACCATCCTCTCTGTGGACCCACAGAGCCATGCACATTCAACCTGTCAAGTACTGAGTTGAAATCAATGGCCTGTCCACTCTCCTCCATCCTCTGGATCACACTTGCCACATGGTCACCCCTGAATCCCATGCTCACCAATTTCTCAATCAACTCATTGTAGGGATGGTTGCGGACAAATTGCGACTGGTTCGGATTCCGGACCATAAGATTGTGACCTGGGGGGTTCTGAAGGGAAGCACTTGTTGGAGGATATCCAGGTTGAGCAAAATGAGATGGTGGTTGGGGTGGATGATGTGTTCTTCCTCCCTCACCATCATACATCATGTATGCACTACTAGGAGGAGGAAGCGCTGAGAGGTTCCCGGTAGGTCCATACATTTCACCTGGCTGTGCAGGAAAAGAGCCCTTCATCTGCTGGGGTGGAGGTTGCTGTGGAACTGTTCTGCCAGCTCCTCCATATCCATATGTCATGGCATCTCGGCTAGAACCTGGTGGTGGAACTCCTGAATATGGCATTTGCATGGTCATGCTGTTTGGCAGTGTTTCTGAAGGTGATTGGTTTGTTGCTTGATTTGGCTGGTATGGTGGGTACACAGATGGAGAGGGAGGTCTTACTTGAGATTGCATTGGGGGTGCCTGTGAAGGTTGCACCTGCTGTGCCCATTGTTGTTGTTGCTGCGGCTGCTGTGGCTGTGGATGTTGCTGTGGCTGCTGATAGTGAGAAAATTGTTGCACAGCTGGGGATGGGGTCACTTGAGATGGTGCTGGTTGTGGAGCCACAATTTGGGGTGTTCGATATTGTTGATCAGAATGTAGGTACTGGTTCTGGGGGTGCTGGGCCACGGCTGGATTCGGCAGAGGGGTGGGTGGCATGTAATAAGGAGGCTGTTGAGGGGCTTGAGTCACATTTTGTGCAGGAGGTTGAGTTGGGGGTGCTGCAGGCTGCTGTTGAGGGGGAATTTGATGAGGCAAGGCAAGAGCCAACTGCTGGTTGGTTGCATCAGATGCATTATCAGTTTTCTTAGGATCTGTAGTAGGTGAAGATCTCTCCTCATTGGACTGTGAATGGCTCGAGGAAGATGATTCTTTCTGAGCAAGTTGAAGCTTGGCTAATTCTTTCTGAGTATCAGCTAGCTCTTGCTTGTCTCTTAAAATTTGTACAGACCTGTGAACCTACATAAGCAAAATAAGAAAAATGAGGTTGGAACAAATCTACAGATTATTGTAATGGTAAACGATTCTTAATTTAGCAACACTGCATAGAACCGGATTGGCACGTGATAAACTTGATGTACAAACATTAAAAATTTGCAAATTGAGATCAACTAAGGTTGGGTTTGAAAAATCAGACAAGACTATTTTTTCAGGTCCACATTACTAAGCCAAACCAATAAATCCTGACACAGTATGGTCCCTCTAATCCAAATCTTTGCAGGGGCCCCCTCTAGTCCATTGGGCCCCCCAATTAATGATCCATCCATTCTTTCCCCAATCCATTGGATTATTAAATTATAGGAAAAAAAAGGTCAAGTGGTTCTTCCAATCGCTGTTGAAAGCCAATTTATTCTTCTTCATACTACTTCTCCATCACTGTGTAATCCACTGACAAAAAATATTGCAATTATTGAAAACGAATTTCTAAAATATAACACACTTTTAAACAAATGGCTCATGGATTGGATATCCATCCGAAAAAAGAAAGTGATTAATGAATGGATTAAATGGTTTTAATTAAATGGGTCATGGACGGGTTGGATTTTCCAATACATTTCCAACAATCATAAATGGATTGTTTTCTACACGTCCAATATAGCCCAATTTAAAATTTATCCAAACCATCCGATCAACACCCCTAGGACTGGAGAGTGGAGACTGGTTGATTCAATCAAATTGAAATATTAATAAGAAAAAAAAATGTTATATCTTGAAGAAATGTAAATCTATACGTGTACTTTGGTTATTGTTGTCACTATCATGCCAATACAAAGCAATATCATATAATCTGGTACTTAACATGCTATTATTTGATGTTGTCACGGGAGAAAGGCACCCACAACTAGGAGGGGCTACTGGGTTGAGTGGAGTATTGGGCTGAGACACTAAAAACAAGGTTTTGCAATACTTCTCACTAATGGGTGAATCATCAACAAATAATTATAATCATTTGGGTGATTTAGATTCCATCCTATGGTCCCCAAATTGTGGGGAACAAAAATTGAAAGATTGGACAGAATGAGATGGGATTCATGCCATTAGAAACCACTGCACCTCATTGCAATTTCAGCAATCCAAACAATGGAACATAATAAAATAGCACTCCATCCCATCTCACACCACGAATCCAAATGAAGGCAATATATTGATATAATATGGCAAGGTTACACACCAACCCATGCCAACAACCTGTACCGCCTTGAAACTGAAACACATTTTTTTGCCAGCATCTACCTGGCCCAAAAAAGGAATAGAATCCGTCACCATGTTTGACTTCATCCTTCTTAGCTATTACTGATCCCGGTTCTTGCCAGCTTTATCTTTGCTGTTCATTGTGTACACTACACAATTATGAACTTTGATCAAGGACAAACAAGTTTCAGCATCCTTGCTACCATGTTCTTCCTGTGTTGTTGTTTAGTCCATATGTGAAGGATGAGCATTTTAATTTGATAATGTTTTATCCCCTTAATGATAAAATAGGGATTTTACCTTGTCTTGATACAATCTGTTTTTCTTTGGTTTTGGGACTTGATCATTTGACTAGAGGTCAACTAAGAATGAATGCCCCTTTGAGTGTTTCATGTTGGTATCTCTCGTTTACATATTATCAATAAGATTATGGAGAATTTCTAGTGAGTTTTTGGTGTATTGTTACATCAACGCTTGTCCGTGAGGATTGGAGAGGATGAGGATAAAGGTAAGATTAAATAAAAACTGTCTTGATGGGAGCCAATAAAAATCGGGCATCATATATTTCAAAGGGCTGAAGCAGGAAAAACTTATTTGGGGTTTTAAGTCCACAAAAAATGGATTTAAATAACAGCAAAAGACAACAGGCCTTGTAATAATGATAAGACTGAACTAGCATTTTGGTCTTTTAAAGATGCACTTGAAACCAATTTGGTCCTCCAAAAGTTTAAAATGACATCAAAAATGATCCTTCATTCAAGATCTATGTGACATCAATTCGGATCATTTTGATGTCATTTTAAATCTTTGGATGACCAAATTGCATCAAGTGTAGCCACCCACACACTCATCTCAAGAAAATATACCATATTCCATATCCATACCAATACTAATATGATATGAGAACATAGTAGCACCTGTATTTGTGCAACTGTAACCTAGAGCTATAAGCAATTTATCAAGCACAATAAAATGAGTGAAACCACACAGTACAACTAGAATACTAATACCCTACTACAGATATTACATATTAAAGTTGCAACTTACTTCTTGGAGGTGCTTTTCAAGAGATTTCAGCCTCGAATCTTGCTCCGCATGGTCACGATTTAAATCAGATTTCATTTCTCCAATAGATTTGTCAAGATTATAGCAGTATAATTCCAACTGTGATAGCCTGGAACTAATTCCCTCAAGAAACCGCATGAGATTGTCAGCATATTTTTTCATACTCTTCTCTACAGTCACAATCACATCTTGGCTTAAAGATTCTTCAGGTGGATTATAGGCCGTAGTAGGAAACATTGATGTCCTTGCCATCCTTGATTTGTGAAAATCCTGCCAAATGGTGTGGATATGAGATTCAAAAATTTACCAGGTAGGAATTAAAAGCACATGTAGCTTATAATCATTAAAAGAATATACTGCATAAAGAAACAATAAGTTTCAGAATAGTCAAGAATACTCAATAAAGCAAGCAGCCAAGCACAACAGTTCCAAGTAAACAGAACCTGGTCACCCACAATAAGCAATTTAACTCAATTGGACAATTCAAGTATTAAAAATAAGTATGATATAATCATTCTCCTTCCTCCTAAACTACGGTTTTTTTCCCCTAATTTCACCGATTTCTTCTTTGATAAGATTTGTAGAGTTGACCTACTACTTACACTTGTCATCATATACCCATAAACCAAAATAGGCCAATAATAGATTACATTTCTAATTTTGGACGTGAGAATTGATCAATTATGTTCCAAACGTACAGTCAATCATGTTCATCAATATATCAGTAAAGGCACCTGCCTGCATACATTAAAAGTATCATAGTGTCTAACCCACCAAAACATATATATACCTGGCACACTTGGACACAATTCCTTATTGTCTCTCTCAACTGTCAACCAAGTTGAACTCATTCAACTAGCACATCAGCGTTTTCATATAGCATAAAAAAATTAAAAAATAAAAAATAAACTCAAGCACGTCTACGGATAAAGAAAACTCAACACTCGGGATACAAATGCATACTACACCAGAATATTCTTTTTTCCTCTCACTCTCATCCAGTCAATTTGACGCCATCCACATACCAAACTCATAATTCAGTCGCACCAATAAGATAAATTAACTCCCCTAACCAGAGCGAATTCCATAACCCCAAAAGAAAACAGCTTCACATTCATTCACCACAAAACTTTTGTTTGACACTAAACATTCAATCACAACATCGAAATCACATCCCAAGGTAGTAAGATGTCACTACAAAAACAACACAAACACAAAACTCAGCAAGTCACTCCAATTTTTCCTACTTCAACTCCCAACCCAGACAAACACCCAATGAGTTGCGATAAAAGGGAATTGGGAATCGCAGCGCCCAAAAAAAAAAAAACTCCACCGTTAACATTTTTGCTTTATGTATAAAAATAAAAACTTTCCTAAACCCTAACGACTTTTGCTCTAAAAGACCGAGACCCACGTTCTGAAATTGCCCTCGGAGGCCAAAAACGCGCGAGTCAACGCGCGAAACGATACGGAGGGCACATGGGTGATTATACCTTAGTTGAATTGGGAGAAGTTACCGGATCGGCGTGATTGCCGTTGGAACTAGAATCGCGGTTGGCGTAGTCGTCGTAGGAGCAGAGGATGTCATCGGAAGCGAAATCGAAGCCTTTGGTGGCAGAGTTGCCGCGACCCGAGGACCCAGACGCCATGGCTGGAGCTTGAAGATTCGCAGAGAAGAAATAATTCAGAATAGATTGAGGAGAGAGAAAATGTTTAGAGAGAGATGTTTATTGGATGCTATGTGTTGTTGTTGTTACTTTGCTTTTCCGCAAAACCAAGTTTCGTATTTGTAAAACTTTTTTAAAAAGGGAAAATCATTTAGGGTTTTATTTTTTTATGATAAAAAAAATGTGAAAGAAACGTTTTAAAAAACGAGGAGCATTGTGTAGAAGATGAGGATAACGATGAGATGCACACCGACCAGTGTTTTTTAGTTGGGATTTCTTGATTTTGGTGTGTGGCAGTCAGTGGGTTAATTATCTTTTTAGAATTTAAAATGACGAGATTATGATTAAATTTTGTACTCCCTCTATTTTTTATTTATAATCATTTTATCATAATTTATTATTTTTTATTATTATTTTATTAAAATTAATAATTTATTAAATTTTTTTTCTCATTTTTATCCTTGATAATTAATGTATGTTTATTGAATAATATTTTCTAATGTTTACTTATTTTTTCTCTAACTACCTATGTAAAGTTAATGTTACATTTAAAAGGACAATATGTTTCCAACAAAATACTATTAAAAAAATAGAGGGTAGAATAGGAAAGTAAGTAATAAATATTTTTGAAAATTAAAATATCAATCATTTCCTCAAGTCTCGTGCAAAACCTTAAACGACTATAAATAAAAAATGGAGGAAGTATTATTAGAGTACATTAGACAAAGTATTGAATATTTTCACCAACTAATATTTAATATATCATTGCTGCGTATAAAAATCAGAATAACCATAACTACGTATAAAAATTAGTAAAAATTAGAATTATAACGTAGTGAGTAGATTTTAGAGTTTAGTTGACTCTAGAGAGCGGAGTATATAAGGATTTCTCTAAGAAAAGAATTTCATAAGTTCATTCTCAAGGAAACTTAGAGAGAAGGACTCTGGGTCCATGAGCTCTTTTCTCTCCCAAATTTCTCGTTTTGATTCATCTTCTCTTCTAGATTACTAATCTCTTCTATCTTCTCTTGAAATTCAGGCTAGGAAGCTTGCTATTGGTGGATTGAAGTCTGCGGGTCAAGCTTCGGGAGAAAATTCTTCTTCTTCTCAGTTCTTAGCCATTTTGAGTCAATATTCAAGTGAGGGAAGCTAGAATGTATGTTGTTTGGTTGCATGTGAGTTTAGGAACTCAATTGATGCATGAATTTGGAGAATCCATGGTTGGATTGAAGAAATTCTCATTTTTCGGGATTTTGGGAAAAATGGGGTTTTCGGTGATTTTGGTGCATCGGGAGGGTGCATGTTGAATCTGAGAATGTTTCCTAGTTGTATGGAGTTTATGGATTGTATTTCTTGGATTGCATGTGGTTGGATTTTCTCATTTTCAGGAGTTGGAAGAAATTTTCCAAGTTTTGGGGGTGACTGTTTGAATTTGCGTCGGGCGCATGTTCTTGGTGTCGGGCATGCATTCATCAGAGGCACCCATTTCTTGAACACGCTGGGCGCGATTGTGAATGGGGAGTCTCTAGATGAGTTCACGTCGGCCGTGAGGGAAACCACATCAGGCACAATATCAGATAGTGGCTTGGATGGTGTTTTTCTGATATGGCGCCAAGCGCGGAGACCTCTAAAGGTCTCTGTGTGGTCGACGTCGAGCACATGGTGAGCGCGTCGAGTGTGGACACTATCCCGAGTCTTTGTCTCAAGGACGCCAGGCATGGGGATTTCACACCGGGCGTGGATGAGTTGTAGGACTCTCAGGTTGGGTTTTGGTCGGGCGCGAGATGGTTGCGCCAAGCGTGAGTTTACTTAGTGATTCTAATTGAAAATGATGCTTTTGCATGTCTAAAGTCGAAGACTTGATCATATATGTATGATATATGATGTATGGTTCATATGTATGCTTAGTGATGATATGTATGAATGTTTAAATATGATATGACATGTGTATATGTTCATATGAGGATGATATTGATCATGATGGTGGATTGGCCATGTATGATGTATGATGCATTATTGCATGTGATGCCTTATGGCATGTGTCTAACCTAGGACTTGAGGAGAGGGAAAACGTTTTCGAATTGGAAGAGCTCACATAGAGTCTCTTGATTGTGGTGCTTGGATAGACCACTGATATAAATGAGAGTGATGCTTAGATAGGTCACTGGTTTTAGGTGAGAATGGTGCTTGGATAGGCCACTAGTGGGTGAGTCTCCTCTAAGTCCTTAGCTAGTGTTGGAGCGGAGTATGAGGTCGAGGGTTATTCCCTTAACCAAGTACTGGGGAAGGTGCGTGGTTCCTTGCGGATAGTCGGTAGGCGAACTCTACAAGTGACTTGGTAATGCATGTCAAGGTCGTGGTAAGCTTGTACCCAGCTGTGTTATATCTGACGGTGGAACTAGACTTCCAATTGTGTAAGTGACATCATCCGAGTAAACCCGAGTAAGAATTTATATCCTATTTAGTTGTGATAGAGCGAGCGCATTGGGCGTGAAAACGGTTGAGGTAGTTTTGGTAGGATTGGGATGTCACTTATACTGCTCTATTATTAGGGAGATCTCTTAGGTGTATACATGACGACGTATTAGATGATTGATATGCATTGATATCTGTCATGAGTTGTTATTATTGCATGATTTCTAGTATGATGAAGTGTGTGGTGTTGGCTTTATGTTTGATGAACTGGTAATTGATTGGAATGGGAGTGCCTTTAGGACTTGATTGAATGATTTGATAGTTGAGTAGCATAAATAATTATTTTTATGCTTGTATGGTTATTTATTGAACTCTAGTTTACCCTTTTGTTTCCATGTGGTTGGACTACGATGATCATACTTTGTATGGGAGCAGGTCAGGACTAGCTTGGAGTTTGAGGTGACCGCTGCAAAATGAGGAGTTTTGTCCTAGTGTCAGAGTTACCTTCTTGGGTAACTGTTGTTTGTGCTTGACTAGCACCAGAAGATTATTATTTTGGATGGTTGTACATATATAATGTTATATTTTATACTTAAAAACATAGTTACTATTATTTTTATATATACCCATATGTATGAGTTATCCAGTTTTAATATTCTCTTAGTTCACTAGTAGTAATGTTATTCCACTGAGTGTAGGGACCATGACGGGTCGTTACAATTATATTACATGAAATATTTTAAAGGAAGTGTTTCTTAATGAAATTATTTTTAGAATTTTTTAACTTCTATATTTTAATTTATCATGTACTATATTTTTTTAAATTAAGTTTTAATAATTTTTTTTAAAACAACAGTTAAAATTTATATCATGATATAAATTATTTATCAATTTTTTTTAAAATTATATATTAAAAGTGTTATTTATTATAAATTTCAATTATATCATGATTTATATATTCCAAAAATATATTTATTAATTGATCTCAAATACATGAAGTTACATCTCCAAAGTTAAAATAATAATAATAATAATAATAATAATAACACCTAATATATTCTTGAATAACCTACAATCATCTAATAATAACCACCTACAATCATATATTTTCTTATCAAATAATATAAATTGTTCATTATAAATTTTATTTTTATAAAATAAATAAACGCAACTAAAATGCTAATTTTTTAAAATGTTTAAATACATATGTATTAAATAATGTTTAAATTTTTTAATATAATTAATATTTGAGTCGAACTATTGTATAGGATAATTTTTATTGTTTATATAATTATAATTTGTAACAAATAAATATGTTTAAATTTTATATTTTTAAACTTATAATAAATAATTTAAATATTGACATGCTATTACTTTTAAGTTTTAACTATTGATAGTTCCTTAAGATAATATTCTTTATATTAACTCTTATATATTATTTCCGAATTGCTATATTGGAAGAGTGATTTTATGAGTTTTTCTATAACGAGAAAGTTTGTAAAGATATTTTTAATTTTTAATTTAATTTAATTATTATTTATGAATTAAATATTAATATTTTAAAATAAATTATCAATAAATAAAAATAAACTTTTTATTATGATATAAATTATTTATCATAAATCTAAAATATAATCTTAAAAAAATAATATAATATAAATTATTTATCTTAAATGTGAAATATAATTTATATATTCAAACATAATATTTATTTATATATAATTTATTATAAAATTTAATTATATAATAAATATGTATATATTATACCTACTAAAATACTAGTTTAATTGAAAAAGTGGAATTTTTTAATAATATGAGTAACTTAATAGATATTTATTTTTATAAATATTAATTAAAACATTTAATATATACTAAAACAAATTAATATTTATTCCTCCCACAATTTCTTTGATCAAATTTGTGTGATTCTCTAATTATCTGATGACTCTGTGGACAAGGTTCTATGTATCGGCAATGTTAAGATGAGCTACAAGCTAAAAGAAAGAAAAATAAATAGTGGAAAATTTATATTGAATGAATGCTTTTTTTTAAGGGAATATTGAATCAACTTAGAATATTAGAATATTATTATATTTAATTTTAATTATTATTTTATTTTCTTGAAGTTGGATGATGGTTTAATTAAAAAGATTAATATTTATTTTTCTCAAAATTTCTTCCATCAAATTTGTATGATTATCTAATTATTCTAAAATCTTGAGGACAAAGTTCTATTGGACGTATAATTAATGTTAGAATGGGCTCTAAGCTTAAAATGAAAAAAAAAAAGTTTAAAGATTATATTAGATGGATTAAAAATATTAGAATATTATTGTATTTAAATTTAATGTTATTTTATTTTTCTTGAAGTTGGATGATAACACTTGTTGTATCATTTTTAATAGTTATTAGATTATAAAATTGTATTCCTTTAATTTTTGAAGGTGTCGGTGAAAAATATAAATATTTATCCTCCTTATCTTTTATATATATAACCTTTTATTTTCTCTATAGTTATTTTATTTCTTCATATCATAACATATACCTTTCATCATATGGATCTTCCTATCGAGTTGGATAAGACAATTGTGACAAGTAAAACTCTTTTAAAGTATGTAATGTTGCTGCATATCAAAAACTTGACATTAATGAAGCAAAAATCTGTTTTCTAGACACACGATAATAGAGATAATTTTTAGCGTCTGACATTGTCTAGTTAGAGAGTTTTTGTCTTGATCATGCCCACAACTCCACTAGGATCTAGTGTGATCAAGTCAAAAAGCTTTCCTCTAACTCAAGTTGGACATTATCAATTTCATGTTCAGTGTCAATGAGGCAGAGAGCCTCTAGCCTATGTTACACCGAATGTCATGAAGTTGCATCCAACGTGATGATGAATTTTGCATTTGGCAAAATCACAAAATTGGTTCTCTTCACTTGAAAATCAATAAACCAAAGCATATAATGCCAAAAATCCACAACTATACATCATCATCAATTCATATATACTTCTCATTTCAATATGCAACCAAAGTTCATTCAAATTCACCAATTTCCTTTCTCGAAAACAAAGAACCAAAAGTTTCACAACTAAAACTTAAAAATCACTCAACTCAGCAAGTGTGTTGAACATTGTAAGAGTAAGTAAGAGAGTTTACAGGTTGCATGTTGTTGTATGATAGTTCTTTATACATTAATTTAAGATTATGTATTTAGATGATTAAGGCATGGTGTTGAATTGTGTTGATTGACTTAGGATTGGAGAATGTGTTATTTTAAAAGTTGAATATCTCATTGTGAGGATATGTTGTGGTGGTGTTCTATGAGCCTAGTTGTTGAAACCCTTATCGGTAAGTTGACCCTTGAAGCAAATTGTTGAGTCTCTTCTCTATGACCTTAGTTGATACAATATGGGGACAAGGTTAAATCACACCATCTATAAAGCAATCACAGTATAAAGGTCAGGTCGAGCTATATTGATTATAATGCGACCAATGTTGATCCGTATTGGGGCCAAGTCAAGACATACATGTATAAAATGACCAAATTAGAGTAAGGTACAAGATCAGAGATCAAAATTCCTAACTAAGTATTGGAAGGGACGTAGTATTTGGAGGGTAGTTGACAGACTAATCCTATAGGAGATTTAGTTATGCATGCTAACGTCGTGGTAGGTCCACACCCAAAATGTCCTATCCCGTCAAAAAATACTACTTTTATAATTTAAGTGGTGAAATTCGAGAAAACATGTTGTTGTGGATTTTTATCCAAATTGACTCTTAATCTAGCTAGATTGAAAAGACAATATTGTTATTAGTTCGATAGGGTCACACCACTTAAACTACTCACCTGTATTGTAAGATATTTTTTAGTTGAATTTGTGATGTTGCATATAATTGTTGTGTTATATATATGATGTGTTGATTGAGTTGTGTTGTTCACATGCTATGTTGAATCGTGATAAGTTGCATTGTTGTGTTGTGTTGAGAAGTTGCAAGTTGAGGTTGTGTTTAAGCAAGTTGAGTTGTTTAAGTTGGTAGTATAGTTGTTTTGACTTTTATACTTATTTTGTTGATTCTTTTAAATTTTAACTTATCCTTGCATGTTTTCTTGTGATTATATTGAGATGATAATATTTATATGAGAGTAGGGTAATGATAAGTTGAAGTCAGGCGTTGGATCGAGAGTCATGATGGATGGAGGTGTAGCTTGTTGCTACTTTTGTAAATATGTTGTAGTATTGCTTAACCAACTACTTGAGCTTATATTTCATTTTTTGAATTACTGTATGTATGTGTATATGTGTGTATGTATGATATAATGTAGTTTTACTAAAGAACATTTTATGATTTCAATTAATTTTTATTTTTATACATATATTATTACTTGTATTCTCAGGAACTACTTAACTTAGATAATTTTATTTATAATTTTTATTATGAGTAGTTGAATTGTTAAATGTAAAAACAATGACAAATTATATATATATATATATATGATTATTAATTTTTTATTTTAAAAAAATTGTTCATTAACTTATTTTCTCGCCACTGTTAATATCCGTAACTATATGACAATTCCTTAGTTTGAATCTTTGCTTATTTTTTAAGAAAAGTGTAAGTTCTCAATATATAGTTAGTTGAACAATAAGGGTTTCCTTCATTAAATATTTATTATGATATATAAAAATAATAATATTTTAATGTTTGATTAGCCTGTATCTTTATTTGTTTAACATTAACATCCCCTGATTTATAGCCAAGGACAACACTTGAAAATTCCTTAAGACACTTATCAGATATAAAAATAGTCTTCCACACCTCAGTGACGCGAATGAAGGTGGCCTCACGACAATAATAATGAGATAGTAGGTAGCTGCTGATTCAACAAATATTATCATTAAATAATCTCTATTAAATATAATATACAATGGACTAAAATAATATAATTAAATGTTGTATTCACTAAAATATAATATATCTATCATATTTTATTAAGTGTAAGAGTTTTATATTTATGAAATTTATTACATTACCATAAATATGCCAATTATCAACAAGCATGTGAGTTATCAATAACTGGAAAACTTCGTCAATATGTTGATTTACTGGTGGAAATCGACGATCATGAGAATCCTCAAGAAGCCACCAAAAATGCTAGCAGTATTCCGGTAGTTAAGCTATCAGTGTCATTACAAATGTTAGAACTGTGAAATGGGTATAAAAATTAGCAGCACTTGTTATTCATAGTATTAATTTATTTAGGCTTAAACCTATTGATTAGCAGCACCTATTATATATAAATTAAATTATTTTCACTAATATCCCAATTATATGTCAAAAGTTACTAGTATAATTATTTTTTATTTTAATGTAATTTAAATTTTTAGATTAAAATAACACAATTTTAAATAAAATCAGATTCAACTACTAATATTTTTGAAGATTTTTAATAAAAATTACGGATTATTTATCTCGGCACAAGTTCACTTGATATGAATAGTTTAACATGTGTTCCATATCAAAATGGTTAACATAAATGATAATGATTTATATTCCCTAATTGAAATTTTAATTTTAAGTATAAAATAAATTATATTAAAAAAATATCCAGTGTATTCTTATAAGTTTTTGTTTATTTTACGGTTCGAGTGTCTAACACAACTCTCAAAATTAATAGGCTAAATAGAAGAACTTATGCGACTCTAAAAAAAAACAAAATAAGAGACTAAGTAGAAAAGTAATGATATTCAAAAGGATGAAAAATTGGAAAACATGTTTCAGCCAAATAAAATATTATAAGAAAAAGGGAATGGACAGAAAAAGTAAAACTGATGGAAAACAAAATTAAACTGTTGGTTCAACAACATATGACCTACCACAAACTCTACTCTCAGTGATGTCCTAACACATTGACCCTAAAAAGCTGTTCAATTTTTGCTCAAGAGGAGAGGGTCTATGACAGTATGAATGGAATGCAACAGAAGAATTATATATATAATCACTGCAACGAAACCAGCGATTAAAGCTCCTGTCACTTGATCACAGTATTTGGGAACTGAATCACATATTGGAAGCCATGCTGCATAACTGTTTCCTTTCTTTCCCACCTGAGCTATAGCCAAAGCAGCAGAGAAGCTTGACACGAGTAACATGGTGAATACCTGTTCATAAAATCAAACATTAATATAACATTTTTTTTTTTGTAAGAATTTGACTCATTTACAATAAAGGTGCTGATATTATATCCTAATATATTAATTTTACCCCGTTACATGAAGTTTTTCTTTTTTCTCACTTGAATTCACCCCACTAAATGAGAAACTAGAAGTAGTTCAGGACCATTAACTGTCCATGATTCCGGTTAGTTTTTACATGACATGCATTTAAGCTTTTCAATTTATTTATAAAAAATAATAATACTTAATTATATGTCATATAAAAAACCTAGTGTTATTAGTGACGAAACATGTGCAAATAATGAAGTTACAAGGATGTCTTTATACTCCATTAACATACATATTAAATTATGAAGTTATTAATACTTATTTTCATAACAGTCTAATTCAATATTTTAGTTTAATGATGTATGATATAAAATGTCAGCTCAAAGTGCAATCATATATCGGTTTTCTTTCCTTGAGTGTCAAAAGAGATGGAGTGTCCAGTACTTACAGAATTCATAAGATTTTTCTAAGTATTTTATGCTTTTCTATATAGTAATTTTCAGAATTTGACAGTGAAATGAAGAACAAGTTCTGAACAACTTGATTATGGTTCTATGTGGCTATAGCTAATGCATTGCTTGTGTGTTGCTTGTAGTGACTCGTGACACATTTTCTTTTTGATTACCGGAGTATCGTTACCAAGTATCTACTACTATTTGAAATTATGTTTAATCTCCATCAGAAACTTTGAACATATACAAAGTAAATATTTTTCTTCTAACATAGTTTATATCATACTTAAGGACAGAAGTCAAGCTCTAAACAACTTAGAGTAACAAAAAGAGGAGATTTAAGGATATTTACCAAATCCAAAGCCACCACAAGTCTCCAGAGCAAGCTTTGTGCAGGAAGAAAGATGACCAGAAATCCATAGACAGTGACAACAGAATATACAATCACAAAGTACCTAGATAGAATCCTTTGATCAATTTTCATTATGAAGAAAACGAACAATATTGTTGAACAAAAAACATCAACTATTATAAACACTACAAGACACTTACTTGAAAGCTGGGGAGTTAGTGTATTTTGCTTCAAAGGACACTGTGAAGATGGTAGCTGTCTGATGGCTAGTAGCCATCACAATGACTGCTGAAATGGTTGCTGCAAAGGCCAAGAACCTTAGCAGAAGATGGCATACCCTCCTAGTCTTGGCCATGAAAGAAAATAAAAAAGTTGGTGTACAATGAAGCCTCAAAGCAAGGTTTAATTTAATAGATGAAGTATTGGAGTTTCAAATGCTGAAGAAGTAGTCAACAAGGATTTTGTGTCTGGGGTCAGTGTGTTAGGAAAGAAAATAATGCGGTGTGCATAGAAATTATAGTACTTCTTTAGGTTGTGTTAGTTGAAATTTCTTATCTGTCTTGCTTTTTAAGCCACCGTCGTCGTCCTGTAACATCTTCTTTTCAATTTTTGCTGCTATGTTCCCTTATTCTCTGTGTATGTAAGCAATTCCATTTTTATCTTGGTAATTTGCACTTAAAACACTCGCTTTTATGTATAAAAAGTTATATTAGTTTCATGTCATTTTCGGTTTCATTTACTTCTAGCAAGAAAAATATTTATTAAGATACTATATAAAGCAGGTGCCATTTTCCAACCTAAACACAAAGATAAATTATTTTAATATTCTTCTACTTCTGTCTTTTCTGTGGTGTCGTTTTGTTTCCCTTTCAATTGGTTCAGCTAGCAAGAAAGGTTACTTCCTTTTCACCACATGCTACTTCACGACACTAAATATGGCTAAAACCCTTATTTGGTTCCTCATAACATTTTTTTTTGTTTTAATTTAATTTCATTTTAATTTTTTGTTTCAATTTGATTTCCAATAATTTAAATTATTGCAATTTGAAACTTTCGTTCAAATGATTTAAACGGAGTTAACTGTTGGTCACGTGGATGTCACGTAGATGCGTACATGGACGCCAAATTGCATGAATACACCTGGAACCAGAATGGCCCGTTCTGAAATCAGAACGGACCGTTCTGCTTGCACATGGTATGTGTTAATTTTGCAACTGGAACGGGCCGTTCCAAATGCAAATTTCACACACCTGAGTGCATCAGAACGGGCCGTTCTGGTTTTAGAACGGACCGTTCTGGATTCAAAACGGCCCGTTCCAGAAAGCCAATTTCATGCATGCGTTGACCAAAATGCTGCAATGTGATTCAAAAATTGAAAATAAAAATTCATAACATATCATAAATTCAAATACAGAAACATGATTCAAAAACTGAAAACAAAAATTCAGAACATAACATATACTAAAAAAGTTCAAAGAAATTACTGAGAAAAGAAATCATCTGGGTAACGCTTAAGGGAAACAACGTTTTGTTTCATCCTTGACTGTATAGTGTCAATTTGGTAGTAAGTGGTTCACTCCAGTTTGACTAACAATGAAATAAAATTTATAATTGTCTTTAGTGATACACTGCATTGTCCTTAATGATACACTGTATAACCCAATTGTTTAGCAATTGAAGTTATCAATTTTCATTGATAATATTACCAAATCCAGTGTTTGAAATGCTTTGTACCTTGAGTCTTTTTTCTTTCACAATTCACAACCGTAAACCATAATCAGTGACCATTCGTGTGTGGTATTCTGGATGCACTCTTAGTATGTTAATTTTGCACCTGGAACGGGCCGTTCCGGATGCAAAATTAACACACCAAGAGTGCATCCAGAACGACCTGTTCTGATTTCAGAATGGGCCGTTCTGGTTTCAGGTTTTTTCAAAAAATTTGGCGTCCACGTACGCATCTATGTGGCATCCACGTGGATGCCACGTGACTAACAGTTAATTTCGTTTAAATCATTTGGACAAAAGTTCCCAATTGCAATAATTTAAATTATTAGGGACCAAGTTGAGATAAAAAATTAAAATAAAACTAAATTGAAATAAAAAAATGTTATCAGAGACCAAATAAGGGTTTTAACCCTAAAATATTAATTCAGAAGTACTATTTTTTTTTATTGATTCAGAAGCATTATTGATTATTTGGTACGAAAAATACTGTGCAGAAAGTGACCAACGCGTTTTGACTAATTGGTTTTACATTGCCATTCACGGGGTAGGAGTAAAAGGAAATTTACGCGAGAAATTTGTATTGATTCGTGATTTTTTTTTTAGTACCTTTTATCTTTTTTGGATATATTAATTTAGCCTTCTTTAGAATAATGTTATTAATTTTTATAAAAATGATTATTTTCTCAAAACAAACTAAAAGCAAATTAAATTGTCAACTTAGTCAATAGTCATCCTTCCTAAATCTTGAAGGCAATTACTTAAAATTAATTCTTAAAAGGATGTAATACTTGGTGAATATGCATGAGTAGTATTTCTTTATGGAAATTTGAAATGGACCTGTTCTTTGTTCAACTTTGGTTTACATGTTTGTTTGTAAGTTTGCCTGCCTTTTCCTTTGGTCAAAGTTCTGTACGGTTAAATTATCTTTACACATTTATGGGCCTTGTGCGGGGGAATTCACTTTAGCTTTCAAAATGAGTCGCATCCTATAAGTGAATTTGAGCATAATGGGTTTAAGTGGAGTTGGATGAGAAAAATTTGTTCTATTTTAATTATAAGAAAAATTTGAGCTAATTTATTATGGTTTAATTTGTAGTAAGTTGGATTAGTTTACGAGTTAAATCACCTAATATTTTTTTTAAGTACTTATTTTAATTTATATGATCATATATTTATATTATTAATTAAATTTTGTACAAATTATAATAATTAGTGTTAATTTAATAATATTTATTAATATTTATGTAATAATTTTGATATTATAAATTGATTAAATTAGTTGTAGTTAATATCTTTTTTAATACATTTTTAGGTCCATCGTACACAATAATTTATAACCTTTGGATTAATCTAATGATCACCTTATTTTGGTGCATCCTCTGCACATTAACATTATCGTAACTTCCTCTTTTGAGAATTCCCCACCGCAAACAACCATGAAATGCTGCCAAGGTGATTTCTGACAGGTCTCATTTTTTCCCCTTTTTTCATTCTGAATCCAAATGGTTCTCTTGTTGTTTTGGTCACAGACACTCTAAATCTAAAATAACACTCCCAACTTACCATGCTTTCTCTAAAAAACAACACACTTTTCAATAGCCAAGTAGTCTTCTCTCATGAACGTTTCCTAAACAGAAACAACTTCACCTCTATCCTCAAAGGTTGCTTTCAAGGGCTCAAGGGCTTACAAATCCTCTTATTCAAAATACACGGCTCAACAATCATAAAAACGAATTTGGGCTTTTAGGTTTCGTCATGGTGTTTTCTTGCACATTTGTCTTAAATGTGGCTTTACAAGAGCTAGTTCACAAGCCCCACTCTCAATTTGTCAAATTTTACTACTTTGTTATTTGGTCTAGACAACCAATAAACCCCACTTTAGGATGAAAACAAGGTAAAAAGAGAGGATGGAAGGAAAAAAAAAAGAAAAAAGAAAAAAAAAAGGCAAAACACCACTGCCAAAAATCGCTCTAATGTTAGTGCACAATGGTTGGAGGTAACACAGTGGTGAGGGGCTGTTGGGAAAGGTGATGGATAGCTGAGAAGAAAAAATAGTGTTGATATGATAAGGAGGGTGCATGATAATCATATGAGGATTAGATTAATGTCCTTAACTATGAGGCATGACGGATAAATGCAATAAAGTAAGCCAACTCGATTCACACGAATTAGCTCACCATAGGTTGGTGTTTTAAACGGGCTAACCTAATTCGGCTCATTTTTAGTAAGGCAAAAAAATTCTAATTGTTTCGACTCACTATGAGTTGTGAGTTAGGTGGGTTAGCTCGTCAAACTTTTTAAAAATAAATAAATTACATGTTTTTAGTAAATAAAATAAAGAGATAATTTTTTATATTTAGAAATCAAGTTTATCATTGATTCAAATACAAATACATAAGAAAATATCAATCAAAATTTCAAATAAAAATCACATAAAACATATATATATATATA